TGATAGAGGAAAAAGTAATTGAAAAAATATTTGAATGTGCAGAAAACATTAAACATTAAAAATCAAAGAAAAAGAAGAATCTGAATATTACATGGTATGGGACTTATTTTACCAATGGGTAGAAAGTAAATAAATTAAAAGGGGCTAGATTAAGTAAATAAATTAAAAGGGGCTAGATTAATCTATTAAGCAATAAGAGAAACAATAAGGATAATAGATATATTGGATACTACTTATATGTATGGGAATGTGATTATTGCTATATTGTTATAGTGATAAGAAGAATACTATTAGTACTTGTTAAGCACTTGAAATATGTACCAAATTGACACACGATTGAAATGGAATGGATTTATTCTATACAAAAATAAAAAAAAATAATAAAAAAAATTCAGTAGCAGCAATTGGAAATCAGCTTCTGGCCCGTTCTCTCTATACCTCTTTCCCTTCTTTCCCATGTTGGAGATTTTCATTGTTGGGAAAGCCACAGTGAGAGGTCTGAAGGTGGGATTGTCTACCTTTGAGGTTGGCACCCCTTCAAGTAATGCCAGGAAGGATTCCCTCCTGGAAATCAAAGTATTGATCACCAAAGCAATCACAGTCTTAATCTAACCATAAAATAAAACTAAAGCAAAAACTAAAACTAAACCAAATAATATTTAAACATATCCTATATCAGTGAATCCATCTAAGCCTAAGCAGGGAGGAATAAGATTCATGACGCTTCATATAAAACCCATAACACAAAAGTCTGAAGGAAATAAAATGTATTTGTTTTGTTATGTCAAGTTATATCAGGATAGGAATCAACACGTTTTCTCTGGGGAAGGTCTTAACATAGCAATGATTTGGCCTAAAAAGCTACTTTCTCATTGCCACCCAGCCTCTTTCCTTCCTGAAAAGGGACATCTGGAAACAGACTTCAGCATACAATTTTAAGTTATGCTTGAAATAAACTGATCCTTCTCATAACAGCTTCTCAAGCGTTACAGGATTTTACAGGATTTAAAACCAACCCTTTGAATCAGGCCTTGATATGAAAACTAGAGAAAATGATAAATTACATACTAGCAACAACAACTTGATTCATAATTCCTAGGCAGAATTCTACTTTGCTATTTATAAAGCTTTACTTTATATTAACGGAATTGTTTAGAATGTTATTAAAACCCATTTAATGTACAAGGCATCGCAGCCTGCAACCTAAATGGGAGATTACTACAGCATAGTCCATTAACACTATCCTTTATCAAGGCAGAATCATTGTTGGCCTATTAGCATGAACTAGAAGAAGATGCTTCATGACCTGCCTTCAGAACAAGTTGAACAGCACTTAGCAGAACACCAAAACCATTCATTGGTAGTGTTTCCATCTCACGTAGATTAAATTTCGTATGTTGCCTGGGTGAGCAATTATAGCCCCTTTAAGAGCTCTGGACTTCAAGTTTTGCTTTAAGTTCATTGATTCATATAGCAAATTAATGTAGTTTTCCATAATGATAAACCTTCTATAAAGTCCCAAATCTTCTCTTCCTTTGGTTGTCTGGTTTTAAATCAACATGATCAGAACATGATTTGTTTATTTGTGCAGTTTATATAACTGCCCATCTCACAAAACAAGTGATTCTATCAATAGCCTAGAGAATTTTCACTGGCAACAAGTTAGAAAAAGACATTTATGTATATTATAAAAAGAAAGTAACTAGTGTTTCAGATTTAAGATTTTGCCCAGGGTTAATATCCTTTGTAAGAAATAGACTATAACAATGCAAAAAATAACAATAAAAGAATAATTTACATTGTTATACTACAGTCATGTTTGGAGGAATGGAAGTAATATATCTAGGGACTACAAGCTGTCTATCTAAAAAATTAACAAGATTTTTTGCAAATTCATTTTGAATACCCTATGGGGTTCTCTGTGTATGTCTACAGTAGCAGTCTAACTTTATAATTAATACAAAAGTTTTAAAGAATTAGTCACAGGTAATTATTTTTTATTTAGCTTTATAGGCCATTTCAGTTGCATATGACTCCCCTGGCATAAGTCTAACACCATAAGAAAATATTAAAACAATAGAGATTATAACATCAGCCTAAACAAACAACAATAGTAATAGTATCTTTTCTATTCACCATACAGCCATGAAAGTAAGAAACTGTCTTATATCAGTCTAGAGCATTGGTCTGGAACTCTATAGATACACTTGAAATGAAAGTTCAGGCAAAAGTATTTCCAACCTGTCCTAGAAAAACAAACCAGGAATTAAACCTGAAAATTCTGCATGTAAACATGTGATTTACTGTCTCTTTAGCTATTGCCTATAATGTACACTGCAGTAAATTCACTTTATAAATATATTTTTCAATAAGCAAAACAAGTTTTCTTAAAATGAAATCTGATAAATTCTATTGCTTGAGACAATACCTTTAATTAACATTTGCAACCTAATCCCATATGGATGTTCTCTTAACCCTTCTACAAGTCTTTTTTATTATTTTACTGCAACAATAACATGGTTACTACCTATCTACATGTGCATACACATAGCCACACACAGCCACAATTGCCAATATTCGTGACTTTTCCAGCACTTTTCCTAAGCAGAAGAATAAAAGGCTGACCAAATAGACATGCATTAATCAGGTCAGGACACAATAGAATGCCTATTTTGAAAGAACAGGGTTCTGATGATTGTCTGGGTCTTGGGGAAAACAATATAGTACTTCTGCACTGATGTATTAGCGTTTGGATGGCTTCCCAGCTCTCTCTTCAACCACCATGGCAGAAGTGTCACAGAAAAGCTTCAATGCGCAGATGTCTCAAAATAAGACACTCAGTGCCACTTTATGGTGCATACATGAATCCAGACTGCAGAATGAAAGAAACCTTCCAAAGGCAAATAGACCCCAGCTCAGAGGAACCAGATCATCCTGCTGCAGGTCTCCACATGAGACCTCTTCTTTTCTTTTTCAATGTTATCTGTACATGTGCGATATTACTCAGACTCGCTTATACACCTCACCATGCCTTTATGCAAATTTGCCCGAACATTTCAACATCCATTTATTTTCATGTCTGCATGAACTTCCTTTGCATGATCACTGATGCTTGGCCTACATTTCCCTAGGCTCAGCTGGGGAGTAATGTGCGAACTTGGACCTTGTGGAATGAAATCACTGTCACAATTGAACATTATACAGATGGCAATTCTGCTAAAAAAAAAACAAAAAATAAACCTATGGTTTTTCACAAGTGAATTTAACAATGAAATGCATCACCAGAACACATATTTGAAGTGTAAAATGGATAATGCTTGCTTGAGAAAAAGAGGGGTATTCTCACAGACTATCAAACTGCACTGTATGTTTGCTCCTTCTTACAAATTTCTGCGAGAAAATCAGATGCTGTGAAAAACTCAGCTCAGACAGAACGGAATGTTTTAATCACTGAAAAATAAATAAGTCTCCAATTTGGATCCAAACAGAATCTTACAATATAGCAAGCTATCTTCCAGGATTCATCATTATATTTCCCATGGAGTAATCAATAAACATGTGGACATTACATTTAAAACATGTATTTAATATATTTCTGTCCACTTTTTCAACATTAAAAGAGCTCTGTATAGGTATTCTTGATATTTTAGCACAAGCTTTGAATGCTGGAAAAGTATTACTCTCCCGATGTTTTAAACTATTTTTAAACTGCTACTCATGTTTTCCCATCTGCAGTGCTTTCCAGCACCAAAGATCTACTACTTTATGAGAATTAATAATGCTTTAAATGTACAAAATGCCGTGATGTTTGCTTTTATTAGGGAAACAATAACAGGCATTTATATTGTACTAAACATGGTGTATAAGGCATCGATTACATAACTATTTTAATTTATAGTCTAACTGGATGCAATTAGAATAGGTACACTTTGTGCTTAAGCGAGAACGATTGTGTCTTTGTAGGCAAACATCACATCATTATGACAAATGTATATCAAATGGAAGCATGTAGAAATATTTGGGTTTTTCTTTTTCATAACTCAAGCCAGATATATTCCTGACAATCAGTAGCTTGGGGAAAACTACTTGTGGCTCCTTTACCCACAAACCATGTTCTTGCCTTTTTTTTTTGCATACCACTCATCCCATCTTTTGCTGGGTAATCAGCATCCCATTCATGTTTCCTGGCTCTCCTCTTTCTGATATTAGCCTGCGCTATGGCACCCTCTGTGAAACCAGGTCCTCATCCAGTTGATATGCACATGTTTCTCTCTTCACCTCCATCTTCTTGCCATATTCATCTTCCTACACACTAGCTCAAATTTACATACATGGGCAGATTTCTCCATCCCCTATCTTAAAAAAAAAAAAAACAATTTTAAGCTTGAATGGCCCCCAACTCAGTATTTCTTAGACCTCGCCATTAGATCTTATCAGAGTTCTGCTTGATACAACATCAAAGCCACAGCATAAACTGAACCTATTAGCAACATTCTCAAAATAAGACGTTTGGTTGTGGAAAAAGGGGGCACCCAATGTGCTCTAAGGAGTTGCATCTCCCAGAACCTCGAAAACCATGTATTTCCGTAACATTAAGAGCACATGGCAAACTCAGGCCAAACCAGCTTTCTTCCTCCCCCACCCGTCCATATACACTGGTCTCACGAAGACACCCCACTATCTGCAGCCTTCTCCTGCAGCACAGTTATAAATCACTCTCGTGCACCCCAAATTCCTCCCCTCTTGTCTCATGGGCTCCCTGGATCGCGCCTTCCCTTCTACTACACACAGCTTTCTTCCTCCCGGCTCCAGTTTCCACTCAGCAGGGGACACGCTCCGCAGCGTGGGCTCCCAGCTGCACTTCGCCCTTAATCCCCGCTCCTTCCAGCCCAAGCAAGTCCGTAGCCTCCTCCATCCTCCTGGGCTCAGCCAACCGAAGTTGCCCCCGCGCCACTTCTCCTGCGCTACTTCGACCAGCCGGGCTAGTCTGTGGCTCCCACCTGGCGGAGGGTCCGTGAGGCTGCGCGGGGCCCGGCGCAGCGGCAGGCGCCCTGCCCGGTGGGAGCTGTCCTCCACTGCTTGGTGCTGAAGGTGGCTTGGCGGATCCAGGCGAGGTGGCAGGACCCGTGGCCAAGCCGGGAGGCAGCTGCCCCTCGGCTCCCCCGCCCTCTAGGCTGGCCTCATTGCCCATGGCCGGGCAGCAGAGGTCTGGATGGAGAGAAGGCTCCCCGAGCGTCTTCAGGGCAGTGCTGTCTGCGCCGCCATCAGCCTAGCACCACCATCTCCGCCTGCCCCGTCCGCACTGAGCATGCGCCTCGCTTGAGCGCGGTCCCAGCACCCAGCCCTCCGAGAGGACGCGCTTCACTGGGGGCGCGCGGGAGGCGCGCGACCCCGGACCAATGGAGGCCGGCGCAGACTTGGAGCCGGCCCCTCGCCAGCACGTGCGTGGCCTCGCCAATGGTTGCTGAGATTCCCCCTCTTCGTTTCTCCCGCCGGCGCCTCTGGCAGGCAGAAGATCCGGATTGCAAAACGCAAGTGGAGCCGGTTTAGGGACGGCCCCATCACCGGGCAGCCAGAACAGAGCCACCCGGGCAGAAGTAGCCAAGCCCGGAATGGATTGGCTCGCTGTCCTTTTGCCTTTTTTTTTTTTTTTTTTTGGCTCACGCTGTTCGGAGTCCTCTCACTCAAAGCAGTTCTTCAAACATATTGGAAACTAATCCAAGAGAGAAGCAACCTGGAATTGAAGGAGAAACTTCCCAATGAACCAGTGGAACAGCTTGCCTCCAGAAATCGTGGGCGCTCCCTGAAATGGCATAGGTTCTCCTGCTTCAGCAGGGGGCTGGACTCCAAGGTCCCTTTCAGCTTCTATATATGGCAGATCATGTGCCCAGTCAATACTTTTTAACAGGACATGTTGACTATTGACAAATGGGCCCTTACTGATTATATTCACTCATCATGGCGGTATATAATCCCCCTCTCAGTGACTTTATGGACCCAACAATATAGTTTACTACTAGTGCTCTTTATATTCTCTTTCGATTGGGATACCTTCCAGGATAGCTCCCATAGTTCCCAGCCGGCATTGCTGGAGAGCTTCTGATGGAATTAGGTCCAAGGTTTCTTGAGGGCTGGAAGTCTGATACAAAGTTTCTGCAGACAAACTGCACAGTACTAGATATGAATAGCAAATTCACACCTAAAAAGGGAGAAGTGCAATTAATATGGTTCTGTTAGGTACCAAATGCTTATTTCTAAAAAAATAAATAAAAAAATTTACAGATGCTCTTCCCCTTTATGAAGTTGAACTGGATTCTTGATTAGTCTGTATCCTGGATATTGTGTTCTCAGGAGTGGACTCTGTATTACTAATAAGTGCTTGTTTGTTTTCCCTTAATTTCAATACCTTTCAGATTTTTTCCCTGTTTCTAATAAATGAATCATCAATCACTCTTACAATTTGGTGTGTACCACATCTAAGTATTCTGTTCTATTCATTATATTACTTAAAAAAAAACCTTGAATATTTTATTTTGGCTTGAGAAAACATTAATACTAGGATTAATTACAGGTAATCCTTGATTTACAACAGTTTATTTAGTGACCGTTCAAACTTACAACTGCAAAAAGTGACTTATGACCATTTTTCACACTTAAAACCATTGTAGCATCCCCCATGAACACCTGATTAAAATTCAGATGCTTGGCAACTGATTCATATTTATGACTGTTGCGATGTCCCAGGATCATGTCATCACCTTTTCTGACCTGAGAAGCAAACTCAATGGGGAAGCCAGATTCATTTAAAGACCGTGTTGCTAATTTAACAACTGCAGTGATTCACTTCACTGAATAGACCCATATCACAACAACTGTGGCAAGAAAGGTAAAATGGAACAAAATTCATTTAACTATTTTGCTTAGCAACAGAAATTTTGGGTTCAATTGTCATAATTCGAGGACTACCTGTAATACTAGGCAAATTCTTTGGTTTGGGGGACTGTTAATATACCCATACTATAATCCCATACTACTATACCTATACTATAAAATACGTTGAATACGGAGTCAATATTTAGCTATAACCAACTTGATAGTATTAGATATAGACTGCTGTCTAAATTATAATAGGAACAAATAATTTAATAAACAATGTCTGTGAATATACCCCTTCACCATATGTGGTGATAGGGCAAAAAGAAGTATTTCATTATGGATAGGACTGTAATATTTTGTTAATTAATTTTTTCCCCAGTGGGGAAGCCAGCATAATCCACTGCAATAAAAACAATAACCTTTTGGGCCCTTACAGTCTAAAGTATTGTGTATATTGGATTTATGGGATATGAAGGGAGAATGTTCCTGTATTCATATTGGTGGTGGTAGAAAGTATTAATGGGATGATTTAGGGAGAAATGAAATGTAAGAGGTCAATACAGTGGCCTTAGAGATGGATGCATTTTTGCACTGGTGTCACAATGAACATACTTAATGTAATACAAAACCATGGCTTCTGTTTAATGCTTGAGGAATAGCATTAAGTATGAAAATTAAGAAGGAAAGTAGGAAATCAACTGGGAAATCAAATGACCACAAATGTTGGAACTGGATGAGGGACAATAAGGCTTTGAGGCATAATTAGATTAAATCAACAGTATATAAAAGAACATGTATGATCAATTCAACTTATTCTGTGGCACATTACAAAGAGAAAGGGCTATGGGAATATTATGGTATTCACCCTATGATATCATAGAATGAAGGACACTGCAACATGCCCTAGTAAAGGTCAATTGATATTTTTGATGGATAGGTGTATGAAAATAGGAAATTATTAACTCTCCCATTAAATATTAATAGCATTTTGAAAAAGCTGGATAATTAGTTCTGGTTGTGTTGTGCAATAATTCCATTTCTAGGGATCACATTCAATCTTTTTTTTTTTTTTGCCTGTGAGCACTGACAGTTACATAAAGCAATCTAGGAAAGGCTGCATGAAATCAGTTTCTGCTTGAGTGACTTCTTCCTGGTATATTGGAAGGTTTCTCTAAAAACAGTGGAGCGATCCAATGGGTTGATAGATGAGTTTGAGCCAATAATTAAATATTATTATCATCCAGGCTCTTGTTTCTACTCTAATCAGGCCAGAATCTATACTAAAGGCTGTATTAGAAACACATTTAGGAGTGCCAAATACAGAACAAGAAGATCTAAATGTGTACAGTTTCAAGCAGTCTAAAAATAGAATATTTGCCCCTAATACACGTAGTCATCACTGAATTCATCCAGTCACTGTTCAAACTTATGACAGCACTGAATGAGGACTTACAATGGGTCCTCATAATTGGGACCATCACTGTGTCCCCATGGGCACATGATTGCAATTTAGACAATGGCAACCAGGTTTCAATTATGATGTTGAAATAATCTGTGGTCACATGATCATCATTTGCAACCTTCACTGCCAGCTTTTAAATTTATTTTGTATATAAACTATATTAGAATGTCAGTGGTGGTTTGTTCTCCGAGCTTCTTGCTGAGTTTTGGAACGTTTCGTCACCAGGCTAGGTAACATCATCAGAGGAACTGTGGTAGAAGTGTCATATTTCAAGTTCTCTTCTGTTTTTATAGGCCTTATGTGGTTAGTTCGTCATGTGAATGACTGGTTTCATCACCACATGATGGACGTTTTGTAGCTTAGTAATGATATTCAGAAACTAAGCAACTGTCAGGATTCCAGCAGTTACCCCCATTTAAATTATGAGTCTTGAGCCAAACTTCCAAAACTTCAAAAGGGAGTTAAAATGTCTGGCACTGCCTGGGTGTAGCCGACTCGGAGACACATAATTCATTGTCACCCTTGACCCTGGTTTCCCCCCACTCCCTGGGTGTATCATAATTCATATTCTCCAATGGGACACATCCATAGCCAAGAGTCATCAATCATGCTCTCCAGTTAGAATTTTGCACAACAGAAACTTCGGTCACCTAGTTATTATCTTTGAAAACATTTATGGAATGCAATTTCGGTTTGCAAGCTGCTGCACTGCTTCCCCCTCCATTTCTGTTGGCAACTATAAAAAGACCATAGAAATATTTTATGAGTTGACAACAACAGGTTTGGAGAACAAACTACCACCAACACCTACCACCCTAGATACAAATATTTTCCACCATTTCTAACTATATTAGAATATTGAAAATAGAATACAATTTAACAAGAACTAATATTTAGGATGAAGAAAAAAGGAACAATGAAGAACAGAGCAAAGACAGTGCAAAGAACAAAAGCAGAGCAAAGAAAAGAAAAGAAAAAAATAAAGAATTGACTTCCAATTTTTTTACAGCATTAAAAGTATGAATGTAAACCGGGACTTCCGGTTTGTCAGCTTCGGTGACAGCAGGGATTCGCCTTCTCTGCGATCCCTGCTGTGCTAGCCACCTTGGTGCCTCTGATCCTGACGGATTTGGAGGCTAAGGCTGCCCTGTTGGGGCAGCTGAAGAAAGGGGGGATCCAGACGGGGGTGAGGGGCATCGCAACCCCCCCCCCAGCCGGCAATAACCCCCTTCTCTCAAGACGGTGCAGCGGTGGTCTTTTATGGCCACCATAAAGAAGCCGGCAACTGGATAAAGAATGCGCAGGAGGAAGAAGGAGTTTTTTTTAAAGAAAGTTTTTTCTTGGTCGAACTGGGACCTTAAGGACATATTTAACACCTGGGAAAGTAATGACTTGGAAGCTATAATGTTCCCAATTGATGTTTTCAGCTGCGAAGAAAAGTGACGAAAAGGGGAAGTCACTCTCCCTCCCTTATGGAATTAACAAATGGACAAGGGAAACTAGCCTTTTGGCAGAAGGTAAAACCTAAACTCCTTTGTTATAAGTGGGAAGGGAGAGGTTTGGAAAAATAAATCTTTACTCTAAGATTTTGCTGGAGGAGATGCCTTGAAGATAAAGAGAATAGAAATTAATTCTAGGAAAGATTTAAAGCACAGATTGGACGTTTCTTCTTTCCCTAATTTGACTTCACTCCTAGAAGAGAAACTGTAAAAAGAAGAAGCTTGTACTCTGCCTGGACTGTTTGATGACTGTGGGACTTTGGGACTTTTGGGAACTGTTTTAAGTTTGGAAATAATTGATTGGCTTAATAATAAGAAGAGGATACAGAAAGAGAAGAAGAAACAGTTCAAAAT